TACTTCCATAAAGATTTACAGCCGTGGAAACCCAGTGGGGGTCGCTATGAGTCAGAATCAACTCAATGGCAGTGAGAATTACATTTTATGGATCATGGTGATGGCCCTAAAAGGATTCTAAATTGCTTAATCATCTTTCTCACTTCCTATCATCTATGAGGAAGACGTAGCAAAAAGTGTGGCGTTTTAAAGTAAAAGGGTTGTACATTTGAATCTGGCTCTGCTACACTCCAGGTGGAAAGTTTCCCCCTTTGAGTCTCAAATTCGTCATCTAGACTGTTGGCCTGTTTTCTGGTTTTATCTTCACCTGAAATCGTCCCTCATAGGACTGTGTTGGAGATTAAACAAGATAACAGAGCAACAGCCCCTGGTGGGCTTCATTCAAAGAAATGTCTCCATAGATTAGAATTCTGGACAAAAGATAGAAAAATACACCATTTTCTCAGGCTGAAACTTCATGCCAGTGAGTCCATAATTTAACAGCTCAAACACAGGTCTCCTCCACACTAAGTAATAACCTACTATAACTGCTAACCAGAAGGTTGGTGGTTCAAACCCACCAGCCATTTCTCGGAAGGAAGACTGGGCAATCTACTTCCCACCTACTTCCCAATCTACTTCTGAGGTGGTAGAGATATCATCTCAAAGACTCAAGGAGGAGTAGCTATGAGACAGATTCGACTTGATGGCAGTGAGTTTGGGTTTTGGTTTGTTATGTGTGCTTTAAGGTGTGTGAGATTAGAGAACTGGAGGCTCTTCACAGGGTGGGGGACACGATAAAGGCACATCGTTTCATTTCATCTGTATAGATTTCAATACATATCTGTAAAAGATAAGGATGCATAAAAGCAATTACCATTATTTTTTTGTATTGTACTCTTTTTCCATCAGAGTTGTGAATCAATTAAAAATATAATTTCTTCAACAAATAAATAGCAATGGGTAAAACAAAAGAAAAAAGAGGGGTATTGCCTATAAATGAATGAGGCTTGAGGGACATATCAACCAAATGCAAAGTGTGGAATATACCTTGACCTTGATTCATGCAAAATATTGCAGTACATTTTTGAGGCTCTCAAGGAAATTTGAAATGAAATGATATTTAATGTTATTAAGGAATTACTATAATTCTAATATTGTAATTGTTTCATGTGCCCTTACCTTCTACAGATATGTAATGAAATATTTAGAGATGAAAGGAAATGATGTCTGAGTTCAGAATAGCATTTAGGGGAATGATTGAAAGGACAGATGAAACAAAACTGGTCATAAATTAATGATAGTTGAAGCTGACTGATAAGTGCATTGTTGTTGTTGTTATGTGCCCTCGAGTCGGACCCGATTCATAGCAACCCCTCCTTGGGTTTCCAAGGCAGTATCACTATGGAAGTAGATTGCCCAACCTTCCTTCCAAGGAGTGGCTGGTGGGTTT